CGGGGCCTCTAGGGCGAGAAGGCAGGCAGGTGAGAGGGCTGGAGCCCGGAGCCGTGTGTGCCTGTGCTGGCGTGGCCTCCAGGTCGGTGCTGCAGGATTTCTGGAGGAGGAGCTGTTGCCAGGAGTGTGGGCCCACGGCCCTGGCCAACCCCTCGGGGCTGCTGACCGTCCTGTGGGTCACCGTGACGCTCGCCATGGCCCTGTTCCTGCCGGACCTCAGCGAGATCATCGGCATCATCGGTGGCATCAGTTCCTTCTTCATCTTCATCTTCCCAGGTGAGGTGCCGCTTCCCGGGCCTCCTGCCTGCTTGTTGTCTACCTGCTCCCCCCCCCACCCCCCCCCAGACAGGATGGTTCCCAGCCCTGTTTCCAGGCCAGGCGTGGGCTGGCGGCTTTATAGACCTTCCCTCATTAAACAGCTCTGTGCCCTCGACACTCCCAACCTCCTGACAGGGGCTCCGTTACTCCCACTGCAGATGGGGACCGAGGCCTCGGGCCTCCCGGTGGCATGGCGAGCGTGTAGCAGGCCCAAGTCCACCTCCCACAGCTGCCGCTCACCGCAGGACTTTTATTTCTTAAAAATGTTTTCAATTACATGACATTCATAAGGTTCAAAGGCACCCACGCAATCTTTGTCCCACCTTATCCCCCAACCTGGAAGGCACAGTTTCTGATAATTGCTTAGGAAACCTTCCTAGTGTTAGTGAAATGTCCTGAGGGTGAACGTGGAGGCCAAGGCCTCCGGGCCACGCTGGCATCACCTTAAAGCCCTTCTGCCCACAAGGAGCCCTGGAGGTGCTGCGGTCTCAGGGCGGAAGCCCAGCCCGCGCTGCCCAGCTCTGGGAAGCGCTTTCAGATGACAGTGCAGTGGCCAGGGCGCCCCCTTGGCCTCCTGGTCCAGCTGCTGCCGCAGTCATGCTCATTTGGGGTCTGAAAGATACACGCGTCGGCCTCGGTGCCCATGACCTGGTGGTGCTATTAGCTCCAGCTATTTCTCATGCTGGGAAGGCCTGGCGGGGACAGGTTTGGGATGGGGACATGCCATGGAGCTTTAGGCAGAGCTGCCTGGCTTCAAATCCCAGCAGAATTGTTGAAAACAAGAAAAGAAAAAGGAGAGAAAGGAAGGAAAAGCTGCCAGTTGCTGAACTCACCCCAGGTGTCGGCCCAAGGGTGGCCCGAGGATCTCACAGAGACCCGGGCACGCAGCTGTGCGGCAGTGTCATCTGGGAAACGAGGCTCAGGGGCCCAGGGTTCGGGCAGATGTTGAGCTGGGACGCACAGCAGGCCTCAGCCACTGCCCTGTGCCCCTCGCCCCGAACAGGGTGAGCCGGGGGCCTTGAGCAACGGTTTAGCTGGCCTCTCGGGTCCCTGCCGGGTGTTGGCTGAGCTCTCAGGGCTGCTTTAGGCTCCATAATGAAGAGCCGGGGACCCCGTCTCCTTTGCAGGTCTGTGCCTCATCTGTGCCATCGGCACCGAGCCCGTAGGACCGCGAGCCAAGTAAGTGTCTCCCCGTGAGGGTGCAATGGGGGCATTGGAAGGGGCCTGAGTGAGGAGCATGTGAGTGCTGCAGGGAGACCCATCGTCTTGCAGATGAGAAAACTGTTAGCCATGGGGGTGTCGGGCCGTGTGCGCACAGGCAGAGGGAGTCTGAGCCAGGACTCGAACCCAGGCCAGCAGCACATGGCCTGTTATCTTTCCCTTCGGCTCTGAGGGTTATGGTGTGTGGCTGGAGCTTCATGTGGACTCGGGGTCTTCCTGACAGAGACCCTTGGTCACATTCACAGGTTCCAGGTAGATGTGAATTTGGGGACCACCACTCAGCCCAGTGCAGACGCGCACAAGTCAGAGCAGCCATGGCCTTGGGTCCCACCTGCAGGCCGGGCTCTGTCTCCCACGCCCCAAGCTTGGCTCCCAAAGCTTAGGCTTGGCTTGTCTCCTTCTGGGTGGGGAAGGGTTTTTCTGGATGTGCCTACACCTGCCTGGGCTTAGGGCTGGCCGATGGTCTGTGGCCCCTGCACAGCCCTTTGAAGTCCTGCTGCTTTTGTTTTGTGCCTCAGTCCCAGCACACAATAGTTTAGTGATGGGCTTTCGCCATGTTTTTAATTCTGGAACTGCTTTAGGGCCTTCCGACCCATCAGAGCTGCTCTGAGAGCGCTGTCCCCGTCACCATCACCTCGCTCTCCCGCTCCGATGGGTGGATGTTTATGGCACCAAATGGCCGTTCTGAGACGCTGCTTGACTAGAGATGGTCTTTCCATGACAACGGGTCCTTGTGGCCTTTGTTAATGGGGCCGGAAATATCTCTGGCGGCCCTGCCATTGTGTGAGATCTTATTATCGCCGTTCTCATCTCACTCACTGTTGCGCTGTCTCTTTTGGTTACATTATGAAGCTCGAGATGTGGCCTTGGTGGCAGCCGGTTCTAGCCACCTCTGCCTCCTGCATGCTCATCCCCTCGCCACTGTTCTGATCCTGTGTGACAGGGCTTTCTTCGTCTCCCTTATTTTGGGGACTTTGCCCCTCCCACCCCAAATGGAACAGGGGTGGACAGGGAGTTTGAGACTAGGGTCTCCCTCCTCCCATTTCTTGGGCTTTGATAAGTTGAACAGGATTGAGGTTATGAGATGGCAGGTGGCGGTTTTTTAATTGCCTCGGTTCTTTCTCTCCTGTTGTTTCAGAAACCCATCCCTACAGGTAGGGAGGGATATCCTTTTTTCCCCAAATTGATGACTCTACTGGGCTTCAAATAATGTTTCTCTGTGTGCGTGGCTTGTCTGCGCCAAACTCCCGGGACGTGCGTGCTGACGTGGCTTTGTTGACTTGGCAGGTGCTGCTTGGAGGTCTGGGGAGTAGTGTCCGTGCTCATCGGCACCTTCATCTTTGGGCAGAGCACGGTGGCAGCCCTCTTGGAGCTCCTATGAGGGGCGGCCACCCTGGCAGGCGGGGGGCTTCCCTGGGCCACCCTGGTCCCCGCATGAGACCAATGTAACCCCATCATAAAGATGCTGGAGAAACTGGTACCCCTGCCTTCTCAGGTGCTCACTGGGGCTTCTGCCTGTCCGAGGGTCTCTGGTGAGATGGTGAGGGGGGTGCTTGTCTCCGGGGGCTGCCCTAACAAGTGACCACAGGCTGGAGGCTTGAATCAGCAGGCATTTATTCTCTCCTAGTCCAGAGGCCAAGGTGTGGGCAGGGCCAAGCTCCCTCTGAAGGCTCCAGGGGGGCATCCTTCCTGCCTCTTCCAGCTCCGGGGGGTTGCCGGCAGTCCTTGGCTTGTAGACGCATCTCTCTCTCTCTCTCTGCTTTCCTCTCTGCATGGCCTTCTTCCCTCTGTGTCTGTGTCCAAATTTCCCTCCTCTTATAAGGATGCTGTCATGGGATTAGGGCCATCCTAATTCATCTGAAGTTACTTAATTATGGTCTGCAAAGATTCTGTTTCCAAATAAGGTCACATTCACAGGTTCCAGGGATAGGACTTAATATTTCTGGGGTACACAATTCAATTCAGGGGGCTGAGGCCCAGACAGCCCTGCTCTGGGGCACCAGGATCAAAGACATGGGGTGAGGGTAGCACACAGAGAGCCCCAAAAGGGATTTCCAGTGGCATCCACTGGATGTGGAGGTGGACTCAGGCCGGTCCTCGGCCAGGGCACAGGGAATGTGGGAGATGCCCACGGCGGTGAATGCACAGAACTGGCCACACAACCTTGCACCTGGCCCACGCTCCCGTGGGGTATCCTGGGGAGAGCCCCCTTTCCTCCACTGGCTGGACCTGAGGGGCCTACTGGCCAAGCGGACTGTTGCTCCATAGTTCCCTTCCGACCCCAGGCCAGCTCTGCAGGGAGGAGTCACACCTGGGGCTGAAGATGGGGCCCCAGGGCCTGCCCTGGGACAGGGCGGGGAGGAGATGGGGGGGTGGTGTCCAGCGGCTCCCCCAGGCGCTGACCCTGCACAGGCCCAGCATGTTGCTGGGTTCAGGCCACGCCTCCCCCTCGGACGTCTGACAGAAGCCAGCATGGCGGGGCTGACGGCCCAGGACACCACCGCAGGGTAGGTTCTCTGTGTCGTGCAATGTGCATGTGACCATGAGAGGGTGGTGGTGACAGAACCGTTTTTTGTGTTTTTCCAGCTTGTCTACCTGCATTAATTTTTTTGAGATATAATTCACATACCAAAATATTCACCCTTTTGAAGTGTAGAATTCAGTGGGTGTTAATTGATGCACAGAGTCGTGTAGCCATCACTGATGTCTAATTCCAACCCATCACCCCTAAGAAACCCTGCACCATCTGCAGCCACTCCCCCCCCCCGGCCCCCCAGCCCAAGTCCCTGGTAACCACAAATCTGCTCTCCATGGATTTTGTCTGGCCGCCTCATGCAATGGACTTGTGCCCTATCTGGCCGTTGTGTTTGGCTTCTTTGACTTAGCATAACGTTTTCAAACCTGTCCATTTCACAGGTGAGGCAACTGAGGCTTGGAACAGTCAAGGCTGCCTGTCCTGAAGGTACAGAGTTAGAGTCGGGACCAGTTTGGGGTTAAATTCCCTCATCCGTTTCCTTTCCACTTCACACTCCTCCTCGAGGGGCCAAGGGGGTGGGGACTGCTGTGCCTGACCCCATGGGCAGGGGTGGACCCTCCGCCCTCCTCCACTCTGGCTGCTGGTGGAGACTCTGACGCAGGGAGGGGGACACAGGACCCTGTGCCCATACCCCCTCGCCCCGCCACAGCCGGTGTTCATGGGCCATGGTGTCCTCCCGGACAAAGACACGTGTCAGGGCAGAATTGCTTAAAGGAGCAGTTCTCCTCCCAGTGCTGGCAGTGAGAATAGTCAGTCGCTTACTGGTTGTACCCTGCGTGCTTCCTAAAATTGCCTCAGTGCTGGCCACACGGCTAGGGCTGTGCTGGGGCCACTCACAGTCACAGAGAACAAAGCAGGATGGGGTAAGGGCTGTGCCAGTGTATGAACTGGCTGTGGAGTTGGACTACTACATTTTAAACATTTGTTATCTCAAGATTTGGGAGTTTACAAACCTAAGGATCAGTTTCTCCACCAGCAAAATGGAACAGGCTTATTGTATATGATGCACTGTGGGCTTACTGTGAGGATTAACCCTTTGTGGTCCAATTTTATTTTTGGAATTCAAACAGTCTGGTCCAAATTAATTGACGGATTGAATATTGAACCGGTTTGCGGTGTCGGCCTCAGCCTTGACGTTGGACCTGCTCCTGGCGCCTGGTCTGTCAAATCAGCCTCCACGTTGGGCTGAAAAGGATTAAAGGTGATTCTGTATCTACAGCAGCTAACGGGGAAGCCAAACAATAGTTTTATTTCAGAAAAACCTAGTTGACATTGGCAAATAAACACATTTGCAGCCAAGGGAAAAGGGGAAACATGCAGACACTAAGTTCACCCAGGAGCAGGAAAGCACATCAGGAAGGAAGTGGCCTGACATTAAATGCTACAAAGAGATGAGGTGATGCTGTTTAAGGGGCGACAAACATCACCACTGGGGACAATCATTTCTCCTCCTGTGACAGGTGCAGATGTGACCCTCAGAGGATTGAGCCTCAAATCAGCCATCATAATGCAAAGAAACGCACACAGAGATGTCGGATGTCGGACCCAGGACAGGAAGGTATGTGCTCTCCTGTGGACTGTCCTGCTCAATACGAAGTGGTGCCCTCAAGTTTCCAACAGCCGCCAGGGGAAGGAAGGGCTGAGCGGGCATCCTTGGGCTTCACGCATGGGCTCTGAGCCTAAGAGCTGAGCTGCCCGCCTGCACGCCCCTTTCCAGGCCTGTCCCCCTCTTCTTAGATGGGCATCCTCCCGCAGTCCCGGGTGAGCAGCCCCCCTTCCCTTCTTCCTTCCGGAACCTCGGTTGCAGTCCTCTTCATTCTCCTCTGACACCTGCCCAGGATGGCCACGAGGGGAGCTGGGATTTGCCCGCAAAGCCCATGGCACAGAGCCTGGCCTGTCACAAGTTCCTGGTCAGTGGTCACAGCGGTGCTTGAGTGGAGAGACCTCCATGTCTCAAAACGAATGTGCACGTGGCCGAGGGGCGTTTTGTAGTCTAGGTGCCTCGTTCTCTCGGAACGGCATGGGCTGCAGGGGCTCCGAGGCTCCTGGGAAGCACCCTCCCCCTGGCCCAGGTGCCCCAGGTAACTGCACAGGGACGCAGCCCGGGGTGCCCACCTCCCACTCAGGATTGCCCCGTGCCCCCCGAGGAAGGTCAGGGGTTTGACCTGGACGTGGGGAGGGTGCGGAGCGGCCACTGGATGCAGGTGGTAAACTTCTCTGTTTGGGCAGGTGAGTTGATTGGGATTTTTTCTGTTGAGATGAGATTCGTGTAACATGGAATTAACCGCTTTAGTGTACCATGCCGTGGCATTTAGTACATTCACAATGTTGTGTAAACACCACCTGTGTCCAGTTCCAAAACAGTTCCACCATCCCAAAGCCATGTGCCCATTAGCAGTCACGCCTGCTTCCTCTTCCCCCAGCCCCTGCACCCGAGCGTCTGCTTCTATCGGTTTAAGTCTTCCAGACATTTTGTATGAATGGGGTCATACATCTGTGGTCATTGTGTCCGGTCCCTTTCACTTAGAATAATGTTTCCAAAGCTCATCTGTGTTGCAGCGTGTCAGAGCTTCCTTCCTCTTCGTGGCTGAGTAACAGTCCATGGTGCGGATCGAGCACGTTCCGTTTCTCCTCCTGCAGTTGTAGGCATGCGGGCGGCTTCCACCTTTTGGCTGTTGGGAGCAGTGCTGCCAGGAACATTTGTGCACATTTGCTTTAATGCGTCTTTTCAATTACCTTGGGTACCGTCCACACAGACATATGCAGGAGTGGATCTGCTGGGTCATATGGTAATGGTCTTTAACGGTTTGAGGAAGCTGATTGGGATTTTAATGTTCTCATCAGGAGCTGTTTCTCCCCACATATCTGTGTTGTGTGGTGCAGGGGTGAGGATATCTGGTTGGGGACAGATAGCTCTGGGTTTGGATATAAGTGACCCACCTGCTGTGTGACCTCTGTGAGTGACTTGCCCTCTCTGTCTCCACTTCCTCACCTGCTGATCATAGGATGCCGTAGGCAGCGCTGAGGGAGTCACTGCCTCCCAAGCGCCTCACTCCGTAGTGTAAATTAAGTGGGAGCTCTCATACCTTTTAGGGTTGAAATTTGTTCTCTTCAGAGCCCGTTTCCACCCACTCGGAATCGAGGAGGCTCTAAGTTGCTTGTGGGCTGCAATCAGCAGAAATGCTACAATGTGGGGAGAGCTCGGGCAGGCGGTGTGATGTGTGGAAGTGGAGCAAGCCCAGCTGGCAGTGTTTCTCAGCTGCACCCCGAAGAGCCTCAGCCCCCTGTGAATAGTACTTTTTAAATAGCTGAGCCGATTGGAACAGTCCCAGCTTCTGAGTGAGGTGGGCTGGGGCAGCTGTTATGCCTGCCGATGCCGCCAGCAGGGCCCAGTGCAGTGGCCTTCTCACAAGCCAGGCAGTTCCTTATCATCACAGGGGTCTTCTCCCCACTTCACAGATGAGGACGAGAGGCTGTGAGGGGCTGGTTGCCAGGGAAGTTGGCTCCGAAATGCACCGCTGGGACCCGAATTTGCATTTCACTCTTCCCACAAGCCCGTATTGTGCTTTGTGTTACTGCTATTGAGTGAGCCGTGGGCATCAAACCTTATGAGGTGGCAGGGGCGTCAAGGTCCCAGGCAGCCGGAGGAGGCAGCGTGGGCAGGGACCTCGCCCAGTGTGATGGCTTTAATCACAGCACGTTTCACAGGCTGGCTGCTCCAGGCTGGAGCAGGAGGCAGGAAGACGCACATCCGTGGTCCCGCCTCCCCAGGGCTCTCACTGGGCCCAGCTCTCCGCTACCAGGTTAAGGCCTGTCTCCCCCCTCCTCCTCCCCAGCCTCTGCTGCTCTTAGTGTTGGTCCCCAACCTGCCCGCTCTCCATTCTGCCTCCTCTGTGCCCTGAGATTGTGTATGACGTCTTTCCTGATACCCAGGACAGGGAACTAGAAGCAGGGATGTCACAAAGGTTCCAGAATAGGACTTAACTGTTATCTCACGTCCAGGGCCTTGGTCTCCTGTCTTGTTGGAAGAGCTGATGGACAGGTGTGCCCGATTAACTGTGCCTGAGGTCTGGCCTTTGTGCCCAGCTCCTGGGAGGTGACCTCTGGGACCTTGTGCCAGCAGCCCAACCTTCAGGGGGGCTGGACCCAATGAACTCCCATCACTGAGGCTCCGTGAGCGTCCCTGGTTGGCAATACTCTGTAAAACTCTGTCGCCCGTTAGTGAGGGAGGAAGTCGCTTTCTATACCTGCCACTGGGAGGACGTAAGTGTGGGCTCTGCGCCTGGTGTCTCTCGGACCTGTCCCTGGCGCTTCCCTTTGCTGCCGTCATCTGTGACCGTGGTCTCATGGCTTCGATGAGTTCAGTCCTAATGAACGGCTGACACTGGGGATGGTCTGAGGTCCCTGAACTTGGTGCCGGGCACAGACCTATTTGTCAAAATAGGGTTAGTGCCTCTATTGTGCAGATAAGAAAACGGAGGCTCAGGGTGACTTGGTCCAGGTGTCATGGCTCATGAGGGCCCCATGCACCCCAGTGGCTTCACTCCTCCAGCTGCTATCAACTAGGAAACAGGAAGTAGAAACACAGCACGTGACGGTTCCCAACGGGAGTTTATTTTGTGCTTATCCCAGCGGCGGCTGTTTCCTAGTATGGCACTGGCTACGTGGGCTCTACTGCCGTGTGCAGACTTGGCACAGGCCTAGGTTGGGCACTACAGGGTGTCGACTCCGACCAGGTAGAGGAATGTAGACCAGGAGTGGAAGAGACGGAGGGCGAGGGGTGGCCTGCGAGGAGTGAGGCCAGAGAAGGCCGGTGCAGTGGGGGATGTGAGGATGCGGGGGGAGGGGGTTCGCCTTCACTTCGAACAGTGGGAAAATACATTCTTGTTTGAAAGAATATGGAAAAGACCGCTCATATACCAAAGTTTCTAGAAAAGAGGGGGCGACCTTTATAAGAAGAGAGGGAGGGTGCCAGGCTCATCCGCAGGGTGTTGGGGAGCAGGTCAGTCTCGGCCCACCGTGCACCAGGCAGCTAGTGAGGGGCAAGGAGAGACACGTTAAGCAGGGAAGGTTGTTGGGGACCTGTAGCCCCTTCCCCGTGTCCCATGGGGCCTGCAGTGAAGCGCAGGAGAGCAGCGCCGGCAAGCACGTCCCTCCTTCCCCCGGGCCCACTCTGGGTGCTGGGCGGACTAGGTTGTGAATCACAGGCCTGTGGAGGGGATGTCAGTGGGGCTGTGAAGGTGGGGGGGGGGTGCCTGCCCTGGCCTGGGGGGCTCATGCCGGGACTCTGGCACAAACCCCAACACACGGGCTCTGGGCCCACCTCCCTAGTGACCGCGGCCTCTGGGCTTGGCTGAGGCCCTGTCCTGTGGCCTCTCCTGTTGTTCCAAGGTTGTAGGGCCAACTTGTGTCTCTGCCCTGCCCTCACCTCTCGGACCCTCTGCACACCTGGCACTGATGTTGAGCACCCATGTGTGGACTGTAATTCCGGGCAGAATAGGGTCATTGGAAGATTTGGGCCTTGCCCTTTCTTAACTCAGCCCTCGGTGCCTGGCGGAGGCTGCTGCTCCTGTGGGCACCCCCAGTGCCATCCCAGGCCTCCCCCCACCCCTCTACCTGGCACCGAGATCCTGGAGAGGGCCTCCGGCTGGCTCAGCGTGTCCACCTTGATGTGCCGGAACGCCTTGCACACGGAGCTCTGCAGGTGCCTGTAACCCACAGGGCACTGGTGAGCCCTTGAGGCTGGGGCTGAAGCACCTGATGTGGGCTTAGCCGTGGGGTTTAGCCTCATGTGAAGATAAGGTGAGGCCCCAGGAAGGCAGATCTGTGGGGCCCTAGAGAGTGAGGGGCAGGTTTGGGGCAGAAGAGCCTGTTTCTTGCCTCAGTGAGCATCCTTAATGAGTAGCTTTCCTGGGTTTTTATCCCTTGGGGCAGCAGTTTTCAAACAGGAGAGGCCTTGGCCTCAGATCCCAGGGCCAGGGACCTGCATTCAGGACCCAGCTGAGCGGATCACACCCCACACTGAGAAGTGCTGCCTCCCACTGGCTCCAGGGAGCACGAAGCCCATGAGGCCAGCGTTCTGGGTGGTGGGTGCTGCTGGAACTGGGCTCACCTTACCCTCCCCGCTGCACTGTCTGGGGCAAGGAAAGGGGCTGGGGCTGGCGTTAGTGGACCTGCGTGCTTACCTCTTCCACTCCTCCTCTGTCTCCCAGAACTCGTAGACCACGAAGGTGAAGCCGTCCGACAGCCTCCCAGCGGCGATGCTGCAAGGGGAGGGGTGAGGTTGGAGGCAGGATTAGCCCGGGCTGCCTCCTCTGGAACTCGGTTCCCTCATCCCTGTCCCCCACCACTGCCCTCAAAGAGCCTGGGCAAGACGCCCCCAGAGCCAGGCTACGGGGTACCCTGAGAGCCTGGCAGAAGCTGGGCACCCAGTCTGTCACCCACCAAGGCCATGAGCCACAGTGCTGCTGCCTTTCCGACGGGAACCCAGAGCCTGCGGGCCAGCCCGTCCCACCACCAGGGCAAGGCCCGGCCCCAGACAGCAGCCAATTCATGTTGTTGAGTGAATTATAACGAAATATTTTAAAGGCTGAATATTCACTTTCTCCTGTAATGTTCACCTTCATTTAATCCTTAACCCCCCCCCTCCCCCCCGTGAGTCAGAATTGGTCAACTGAGGCTGGGGCAGGCCCAGGTCACTCCCGCATTACCTCTGTGAGGGCAGCAGCCCACTCACCTTGATTTAAACAGGACTGGGGGTGCTTCCCAGAATGTGGCAGAGCTGGGGGCACTGAGGGCCGACCACCACGATTACATCAGCGCTAGCACCGCCCTCTGGCCTCCCGCCTGCCCCCAGCTGCTTCTCTTTCCCACGCTCAGCAGAACAGAAGCCCGCAGCCCAGGAGGAGAGCTGCCATGGTGGCGGCTGCTGTATAATTACAGGCAATCCCAGGTTCGCCACCAGGACAGACGCAGGGAGGGAAACGAGGCCGCTAATAGTATCATTAGTTCATTAGGCTCCAGCTAAAATTACAGGTGCCTCCGGGCTTGTAATTTGATGAGAGCATGGGGGGCCGGGGCTGCGTGCCGCCCACTGATCAGATGTAGCCGTGGCCTTTCGCCAGATCCAGAAAGCGCCGCTTACGGGCCTGCCTTTGCGACAGATGAAGGTCATCGGAGCAGCTTGGTGCGTCTAAGTCTGTAGCTGCAGCAGAATGAGGCCCTGATTGGGTTTTGGGGGTGGGGAGGGGTGTCTCTGGATGGGCAGGAAGACACAGCAGGCTGGCACGGGGTACAGAGTGTGAAGCCCTACTGCGTGCTGCCTGTGTACAGAGGAGGGGCAGCCAGGCCCCTCTCTGCTCCACCCCACCCAGCCCTGGGCCCTTCGACCCCTGCCGTGAGCACACCGCTACTGTGGCTTTCGGTGCCATCTGCATGCCCACCGCTCCCAGCCCGCCTCTCCCAGGATCTCCACACTCCTATGCGGCATCTCGAATTTAATGTGACTCCCCCACACCAGCACGCCTGACCTCCCTGACTCCTCTAGGTCATCACACGACACCAACCTCTATCGAGTTTCTGAAGGCAGACAATCTCAGGTTCCACCTTGTCTCCTCTCCACACCCCCTCACTGTTCTCCACGACAGCTCCCCGCTCTGACCATGTCGCACCAAGGCCATGCCCCTTCCTGGGTGACCGCAGGGCCTCTCCCTGCCCCTCTGCACACCAGAGACCAGCCCGTGTCTCACCCCTGCTGGCACATCTCCAATACGGTCCACTGTACTCCAGGTGAGCAGTGCGGGAGTGGGTCCTGCCCGCCACCCCCGGCCCTCGCCCTGTCACCTTGTCCAGACAGACCTGCTTGTTCTCAAACTCGGCACCCTCGCTGCCTCCCAGGCAGTGGCACCCGCTGGTTCCGGCCCACACTGTCCTCCTCAGACCCTGCTGGGCCGAATGCTTCGGACGCAGGCCTCCGTGCACACACAGCCTCTCCCCTCCCCAAAGCCCCTTCCTGGCCTCCACAGCACCATCACCCTTCAGAACCATCCCTTGTCCTGTGCCCTCTCCCGCCACCTGGACCGCATGTTCAGTAAGAGCAGCGCCTGAGTCACGCTGCACCCTAGCTGCCCCCCAGGGAGAGGGTGAGGCACGTGCCCTCAGGGTGCAGAAGGCAAACTGGACAGGGAGGGTCGGGCAGAGATTGGCACAGAGGCCACAGCTACTTCCCGGGCACAGGTGGGTGGGTCTGGGACAGGAGAGGGCCCAGCGACTTGTGCCAGCGGCCCTCTGGGACCACCCCCAGTGAGGGTGAGGGCTGTCGTCTTTTGTGGCCCAATCTGACGTGGCCATGGCCACGGCCACCTGGTTCAGCTCCGCAGAGAAGCAATGCCGGCCTCGGCAAGAGGGACCAGAGGGTGAGGTCCTGAGGGGCAGCCACATGGTAAGAGGAGCAGCTGACATTACGCAGCTCCGACTGCTCACCAGACGCTGACCTAAGCCCTTCCCATTCCTCATTCCATTTACACCTCAACCACCACAGGGACTGGGTCCAGTCTGTGCTCCCACTCTACAGATGAGGAAGCTGAGGCCGGGAGATGCAGTCACTCGCTACGTTTGCACAGCGGGGAAGAGCCTCAGCTAGGACTTGACCCGCTCTCCTAACCGCCCTGCGGGGCCTTCCTCGGGGTGTGGGAAGGTCCTGCCCTGCCCTCCACCCCGCCCGCAGCTTACTCACTGGAAGCAGCTCCTGGCCCCAGCGGTGCCCCGCAGGTACTGTCGCAGCGAGTCCAGGAACTCGCTGAGCTGCTCAGGACAAACGGCCATCTCCTGCCGGACCAGCTGCAGATGCTGTGGGGTGCAGGGTGCAGGGTGAGTGAGCTTCCTCCGGCTCCCTGACAGGTCTCTCCCCGCAGGACCCCAGCCTCCCACACCTCCCTCCTGAGGACAGGACAGTTGGGTCAAAATAAAACAAAACCCCATGCACACATGCCCTCCATTCCTACACATGAACACTGGCTGTAACAGAACAAGAATAAAGAGCCAAATGCAGGTAGCAGTCCCACAAATGCTGAAAAACAGGGTGTGAAGAGGCTCTACACAGGGGCAGGGCTGCCAGCAAGGCTTCCAGGCCTGAGACACAACAAATCAGTGTCCAGCAACATTCATTTCCAATCACGTCAGTGTTTTGGTGTCACTGTCCTGTTGGTCACTTGGTTCCAGGCCAATCTTTTTTTACCAAAGCCCTGGTATCTCCAAGAACACCTGTGGAAGGGGAGGGTGACCAAGTGCTGGGGCCACATCTCCCCACACATGCTCCCTGGGGATGGGGTGGCAGGGCCATTGAGCCACCTGTATTCTGAGTCCTGGGTTCAGGCAGGGATGGGGCCACAGGAGGGGAAGGGAGGCCTCAGGGGAGGGGGTCCTCACCATGTTAGTGCCGTCTTCATCTGAGAGGCGCTGCTGCAGGTCAAACCAGAGGGTCTGAAACAACAAACCATAGAGTGATGCTGGAGACAAAGGCCACCTCCATCGGGGAGGCCTCCAGGACCTCCACAGTTATACCAGAGTACCCAGGGCCACCGCAGAGCTCCAGCCCCTCCACACCAAGGTCCCAGGGGCTCGAGTCCCCAGGCTAGTGGGAGCTCCCAGGGGCCAGGCCTCACCAGACAGGGCTCACTCTACCCTCCATGCACAGTGCTGGCTCAGAGGGGACCCAGGAAGCCAGGCTGGGAGGCCAGCCACAGGAAGTGGTGGAGATTCCTCCTGGCCCTGGCATCTGGGGGCACTGGGAGTCACGGAGACCAAGCAGATTACTGCAGAAGCCATCGAGACTCCATTTTTCCGGTAACCACGCAGGTTGCTGTGTAAGAGAACGTGAGCTGGCAACAGCCCTGAGATTCCCCATCAACTTACAAATCGCCCCCAATCTCAACCCCTGAGGCCCCGTGAATCTAATGGCCTAAATGGGGTCTGTTTTCACTGGCCTCCCGCAGGCCCTGGGCTAAATGCTTTACAAACACACCTTATTTACCTCGCGGACTCCCTGCCCCACTGTACGCTCCAGGGGAGCAGGAACCCGTGCGTGCTGTTCACGGCCACAAGCTAGGGCCCGAGCAGGGCCAGGACGCGGTGTCACTACTGAGCAGAGGCCCGGGCTCCAGAGGCCACACAGCTGGGTAGGTGCTGAGCCTGGGTTTGAACTGGGGGCCTCTCTCCTCCTGACACAGAATCCGGGTTCTCCTCCCTTTAACGTGGGCGCCCCAATAAACCCACCTGTGTGCCTATCCCTAGCCCCCTCCCCGGAGGACAGCCTGTGTCTCTGGTGTGATCCTACGCCGGGTCTTTCCTCTCTCAGAGCGCGCGCGCGCCCCTCACTGGTTTTTAAGGGAACAGACTGGCCCATGTGTTGGCCTGTGACTGGGCAGGTACCACCTTGCAGCCCTTCATCACTGAACAAGGGGCCCCGCTGCTCATTTTGCAGGAGGCCCTGCACATCACACCACGGGTCCCCGAGCGGGTGCTGACTTCCCGGGGCCCGCGGGGTAACCTGCTCAGTGGGCAGCCAAGGTGCGTCCGCGGGGGCTCATCTACTCCCATGGCTTTACAGCCCAGTAAGGGGCTCCGGGAGGGCGGGGCTGTGGCTTTTCCGGGCGGCAGGGCCACAGGAGGAGGGGAGGGGAGGGTGGGGGGTCAGTGGCTCCCACGGCTGCCCCACCCTCTCCCAGACTGTGCCCCGCTCCACCCTCCAGGCCCAGGCAGAACCCGGGTGGCTCAGTGGGTCCACAGAGGGCGGGGCCCGGAGGCGGCCCTGGATTGGCCCCTACCCGGGGCCTGGGCCAATCAGAGGCCGGCGAGCAGGCCCCGCCCCGTCTCCAGGACGCCCAGGTGCTCAGCGGTTACCAGCCTGGCCCTGCCTGTTGTTAAGGCGACCAGGGCGCTAAAAATAAACTTCAAAGAGCCTCCCTCTCGGGTGCCTGAGGGGTTGTTATGACAACCGGGCCACCGGGTCCACCGAACCGCTGGCTCCCACCCAGCACCCAGCTCTAAGAGGGGGGATCCCACCCAGGCCTCAGCCCTGCAGGCAGGGTTGCTGCCACCTCCCTCCAACTCCCGACTCCCACCTAGGCCTCCCTCTGCCCCCACGGATACTTCAGAACCAACCCCCAAACCCATCAAAGTACCTTTTTTTTTTTTTGCCCTTTTGCAAAAGATGTAAGAAATTCAGAAAAGTCAGAGAAATGTAAAATTGCTGCAACCCGGGGCTCTGAGATCACTGGTTTAGTAGAGATGGGTGTGGTGTGCACATCTCTATAGTATAGTTTTTAGCACCAGCACGACTAATCATAATTGCTAGCATCGCTAATGTTAAGTGCCAGCTTCACGCAGGCTCTGTGCTAAGTCATTAAAGACATCATGATCTTTACTCCCCAGGACACCCCTGTGCTATGCTGATGTCCTTCTCTATTGTTAGCGGGGAAACTTGAGTCTCAGAGAGGGTAGGTCACTGGGCCCAGGTCGCACGGCTGTTAAGTGGTGTGGCCAGGCTTCACACAGGGCAGTGTGACATCTGAGTCTGCAGGGAAACCTGAAGGCAACCTGTTTTCCTTCTTCCAAGAAACGGTCAGTGTTACGGGCTGCACTGCGCCTTCCCCAAATCGAAGGACCGATCCCCAGCACCTCAGAATGTGACTACATGTGGAGGCAGGGTCACCACAGAGGCCTTTAAGTAAAAATGGGGTCACAGGGGTGGACCCTAACCCAGAATGACTGGTGTCCTTATGAGAGGAGGAGACTAGGACATCAAGGAACACAGAGGGGACACCATGTGTCTTCTGAGGGGAAGACAGCCGTCTGCACGCCAAGGAGAGCGGCCTCAGCAGAAAGCAGCCCTGCCCACCCCTGATCTCAGACTTCAAGCCTCGAGCTGTGAGAGAATAAATGTTAAGCAACAGCCTGTGTACGGTACACGATGGTGGCAGCCCCGGGAAACAGGTGCAGCACGTTGTGAGTACCTACTGAGTCATGAACTGGTCTCTGGACACACGGTTCTGTAAGGCCGAGTCACTTCCTAGTATCTGTGGACGTGCCATATCATCTTGGAAAGCTCACATGCTGCTGGCCAGACGTTCATCTCTCCTGGGCCGTCACCATCCCTCAGGCCCTTACAGCTCCTCGAAGCTCTGTCCCCTCCACCCATGGTGCTGGTGACTACTGTCTGCTCCTGCAATGCCCCTCCTGTGCCCGCCACCCTCACAGCTTCTCCTCCCCCCAGGCCTCTCTCCCTGAGCCTGCGCACTGGGCACGGCTCTGGGGTCTGTCCATATCTCAGTCTGGTGATGCCTTTCCAAGGCTCCCTGACTTCTGTCCCACACTCTCAGCCTAACCCAGCCCTCCCTGGGGTCTGGGCAATGGAGGGACGGAGGTGGGGGCCAGCGACCTTACCTTGCTCTCCAGCCGTCCTATCAGCTCTGCCAAACGGCTGATCTGGGCTTCCAGGCCCTCCTCCTTGGGGTCCGAGGTGACTGGGGAAGAGGAAGAGACACCAATGTTGGGCAGGGGCAGGCTGGGGAGGGGGCTCCCAGGACCCCACCCCATGCCCCTGGCCGGGCCACCACCTGCTCTCACCAGAAGGCACGCTCCTCTCTCGTTCTGTGGCCATGAGCTTGTGGCTGGGGCCGCAGGGGGCACTGGGGCTTCCATACCAGGTCTGCACCACGCCAGGGCCGGGCTTGCCGTGGTTCTGGCTGCAGTGCGAGTGGGAGAAACACACGGTGAGGGAGGCCGAAGGGCCCTGACCACTAACATAAGCACCCACCGTGGGCTGAAATGTGCAGCTCGCTCCATGGAGCCGTCCCCGTGAAGTGGGCCTCGCGCCTTTGTTGTAGGAGGAAACGAGTTGGCCAAGACCACGCAGCCCAAGGGACTGAGTCGAGATATGAACTCAACCCCATTCTAAGCCTCAGCCCAGGCCCTATTCCCAGGGGGTTCAGTTCCAGGCCCCGGCCCCACCCAACGGCTCACAGCTCCCACCCCTGCCTGCTTCACTAGGAGCCAATGTGGTGCCGTGTGTGTGTGTGTGTGTGTGTGTGTGGGTGTGTGTGTGTGTGTGTGTGTGTTGGCGGGCAAGGGGAGGGCTGGGTTTGTACTCCCTCTGAAAAGGGGAGCCTTACGACCTGGCTGAGAGCAGGCATATGACAGAACAGGGAAATCTGCGATCCTGGCCTCAGCAGATCCTAGAGAGGGGCCTGCCCGCCTGTCCCCACCCCCACCATGCACACACGTGCCCACACGTGCACAGCCCCCGCACACCCTGACAGGCACACTCAGCTCATCAAGCTCTGTGCCTGGCACAACAGCAGGGACTCGACCAATGCTTGGCAAAGGTCGAACACCCGTGTGCGAAGATGCTGGGAAACTCGCCACAGGCACACAAATACACACTGACACGCGTGTCCACACACAGCACACGCACACTCCCTGTGCATGGCCCCCACACGCCGTCCAGGCTCTTCGGCCTTGGGCTGCCTTGTGTGGGCAGGTCTTTGTGAAGCTGCAAGCTCACAAGCTCCCTGCAGAGGGCAACCTCCCCCTCCATTCCCTCCCCCCCCTTCCCCGCCCCCTGCAGTCCCAGAAGCGAGTCTCTGAGGTCCAATCCTGGCGGCTCTACAACCAGCAGCCAATTAAATGTGGCCCTCGGACCCTGACCGGGCAGCGGGAGTCCCTGGGGTGGCAGGGTTTGAACCAACAGCCTGTGCTGGGAACATGACACCCCCGGGGCTGAGAAACAGGGTGGCTGAAGGGGACTTGCGGCCCGGTGAGCTGAACTAGCTGAGATTTGGGGCAGCCGGAGGTGGGTGTGTGTGTGGAGCAGATGTGTCTCCCAATGAGACGTGTCACCCCTGCCACCGACATTCCAAAGTGAGGTCCCACTGTGGGCCAGACGAGATGGAACTAGCGAAGTGCAGGAAACTGGCTACGAAAATCGTGCAGCCATCTCCTCTGTTCTTAACCAGGGTAAGTGACAAAAAGCGAAGGAAGCCTCAGTGTCAGCGCCCAGAGGTGTGGCCAACTTGGGACCCTCAGAATCACAAGAGCGATCACGAACGCAGAGCTCTGGGCTCACGCCCAGGGATCCCCACCCAGTGGGCCCGGCTGGGGCCCCAGGGCCCTGCATTTCCCATTTCCCAGGGGATCTGGCTGCAGGTGTTCAGAGCAGACACATTTCAGGAACCGTATCATTGAGCAGCTTTGCGAGCACACCTGACTGGGACCCGCCCCCCACCAACCGACTGTAAGACACACTCCAACCCCACACAGCACCCGGCACCCTGCCTCTACCGGGAAACCTGCGGCCGCACGGAAACTCAAGGGTCAGTGATGGCTGGACTTTGTCTATCTGAATGCTTTCATGTCCCCTTTCTGCCGGGCACATCAGCTGTTCTGCAAAGAGCAGGCAAACAGATGTCTCAACTCGGGACAGTAAATGCAAGGACTCATGGCCCAGAACTGGCACTGCCCAGCCAGGAGAACACCCCTTACCTAGGCTAACCGCCTCCAGTGTCCCCAGCAAAGAGGGGGACCCCAGAAGCTTGTCCATGGCTTCAAGGGCATGCAATTAAGGCCTTAAATCACACTGCAGCAACACGTGAGACCATCGCTCCACTTCCCTTTCGATCCTCTGAGAAAGGGCTTGGTGCCACCCTGACCCCAGGCCGTGGACGGGGTCCCAGCCTCTGACAAGGCGGGAGCCGGCCTCAGGGTCCCAGCGGACAGCAGGTGCCACTGTCCAGTGACTCTGTTTATGGCACGTGATGCTTGTTTCCAATTATGGGAACCACATACAGTTTCCAAAATTTACCTCCAATTTTCAACAGTAAGTCAGGCAATAGCATAGTCTTGGGCAAAGAATAACGTGAGTGGTGAGGGGACGTGGTAGAATGGATGAGAGTCTGGGAAACAGCCGTAACTGTATGTGCTGTATGTATGTACTTCACGCACACCGGGCGTTCTTCAGCATATATGCCATTCGGTCCTCACAGCACTAAGGAGGAGGGTATATAACTGTCCCCATTTTACAGTCGTGGAATGGAGGCCCAGAGAGGTACAGCAGCTTGCCCAAGGTCACCCAGCGCTCAAGTACACGAATAGCCCTACCCCAAGTTGCAAGTTGGTACGCGCAAGGAATACCCCCATGTGACCCTGCAAGGGCCCTGGACGCACCGGATCTGGCTGGTCTGCTCTTCAATGGCCTCCACCGCACTCTCCACGGAGCTCAGCAGCGACTGGATCTGACTGGCCGTCTCCTTCAGGAGGAAGCGGGTCACGAACTGGTCCACATGGCTTCCTCCCTCGTACACCTGTGGCGGGAGAGCAGGGACAGCAAGGGCTGAGGGTGGGGAGGGAGCTGGGGAGTGGGGTCTGGCACGAGTTGCAGGGGCACCTGGGGTCTGTGTGTCTGCCTTACAGTGGGGAGGGGGAAGCCTACTCCACTACTGCCTTCTGCATCTTGGAGGCCATAGAGCTCCTGGATCAAGGCAGGGGGTATGGACGCGGAGGCCAAGGTCTGAGCCCTGGCTTCACCTCTTACTTGCTCTGTGACCTCTAGAGCCATGAGCCATACCAGCAGTCACTGTAGTAGCTATCGTACAAGGTCACGGTGAGGATTAAATGACAGCATGGACTTAAAATGCCCAGCACAGAGCCTCAGCACGTAGCAAGTACTCAATAAACAGCAGCTGCTATGAAAAGAAGATGGTGATATGATGGTGGTGGTGACCATAGTGACAGTGGTGATGGTTGTGATGATAATGGTGACAGTGGTGTGATATGATGGTGGTGGTTATGGTGACAGTGGTGAGGGTGATGGTTGTGATAATGGTGGTGGTGACGATGGTGGCTGTGGTGATGATGATGGTGGTGGTGATGGTGATTAGTGGTGAGCGTGATGGTTATGATGATAATGGTGGTGACAGTGGTGGTTGTGGTGATGATGATGGTGGTGGTGATGGTGATTAGTGGTGAGGGTGATGGTTGTGATGATGATGATGGTGAGGGTGATGGTGGTGGTGATGGTGATTAGCGGATTGTTCCTGATGTTGTCGTTGACAGAGACAAAGCATTAGGGGAGAAGAACTCACAACCTCCTCTCCCCCTTCCTTCTCTAAGAAGGACTTTGCGGGCTCCTGGGCCTGCATACTGCTAAGCAGAGAAATGATAGATGAGAATCAAAAGCACCCAGAGAGCTTAAACTGGCTCCCGAGAGAGGGTGCCCGAGCCCCAGTCTCAGAGGGAGGGCGAGCGGGGAGCCCGGGGGAAGCTGAGGGAGGGAGACCGGCCACAGGAGAGACATCGGGAAAAGGTGGGTGAGGACGGTTTTCTACGAGTTTTGCTCTGAAATGTGAGATGGGATTTCCCCTCCTGCTAAGAGGCTGCAGCAAAGGCCTTTCTCAAGCTTTCTGGAACCAGCTGAGTTTCTTTTGCTGCAAAGGCTTTACAGTGAAGGGTCAGCCGGGCCGCTCAAGGACGATAACAATCAACGTGGCGCTGTGCTGGGAGGCGCTGGTCCCCAAAGCCCGGTGCTCGCTCCCGCGCCTCTGCAGCCTGACCTTCCACAGCCACCTGCCCCGGGGAACCTTGGCACTCTGCCCGGCCTCCGCAAGGCAAGGGCGACCAGGAAGCAAATGAAACCATCCATCACTCTGACTTGGAATTAATTAGCAATAATTGCACAACGGGAAACATGGCTAGAGACAGACGGAGAAATAGAGGCAGGGAGCAGGGGGAGGGTGGGGTGCAGGGAGGCAGAAAGGAGGGGCACGCAGGTGGGGAGGTGTGGGGGTGGACATCCTAGACTCGCCACCAGACCGGGCACACTGGCGAGAGGCCCCGGCAGAGAATGCATTTGTGGCAGAAAGTAGGTGAGCTTCTGGTAGCCCAATGCATTGCAGTGATCGATTATCCTTCCTGGCAGGCAAGTGAACTCACAACCCAGTGATCAATGGGCTCTGGACAAGCGAACAAGAAGACCCGTGGTAGAAAGTGTGAACACAGAGGAAGGCTGCCGGAAGTCATTAAACAGAGAAATGAGCTAAAGCGAGTGGGTTAGAAGCACCCGACCAGGGACTGAGGGCGTGTCTGGTCAGGGATCAGCAAGCGTAACCGGTCAGTTCAATTCCAAAGACAAGTTGTTTTCAAAGGAGGAGAAATGCAGCTTTTACAGATTTCGCCTCCACAACCGATGTCTCAGCTGAGAGGCGGCTCCGTGTTCCGGAGGAAAAGGATCAGGTCCAGGAACTCTGCACCACACGCACAGATCCCTCACGCGCACAGTAACGGGGATCATGCAGAAGTCTGCAGAGCGAGGGAACCTGACCGGATGAGCACCTTTCCTGCAAAGAGCGCCTAGGAGTTTCTCCCAAAGCATCCAGGCTGAATCAGAGAAGAATTCAGCAATAGGAACGTGGAGAGGCGATGATCACCCAAGTGAAGCAATAAGTCACAGAAGTCAGGAGGTAAAAACAGTCATCACTCCTCATTAAATTTTAACTACACTGATTAAGTCAACAAGGAGTGTGAACGTCTGGAAGAACAACGGGAAATTTCAAAGATCTCCCTAATTCCCCAAAAGAGAACAGGAAGTATTGCTGTCAGCCAGGTTTAAAAACAGGAGCAGAGTCCTGGCTGGGTGGCTCAGTTGGAGCACTGTCCTGTGCGCCAAGAGGCTGCGGGTTCCATTAACGGTGAGGCGCACACCTAGCTGGGGGGTTCCATTCCTCATGAGGCACACACCTAGCTGGGGGGTTCCATTCCTCATGAGGCACACACCTAGCTGGGGGGTTCCATTCCTCATGAGGCACACACCTAGCTGGGGGGTTCCATTCCTCATGAGGCACACACCTAGCTGGGGGGTTCCATTCCTCATGAGGCACACACCTAGCTGGGGGGTTCCATTCCTCATGAGGCACACACCTAGCTGGGGGGTTCCATTCCTCATGAGGCACACACCTAGCTGGGGGGTTCCATTCCTCATGAGGCACACACCTAGCTGGGGGGTTCCATTCCTCATGAGGCACACACCTAGCTGGGGGGTTCCATTCCTCATGAGGCACACACCTAGCTGGGGGGTTCCATTCCTCATGAGGCACACACCTAGCTGGGGGGTTCCATTCCTCATGAGGCACACACCTAGCTGGGGGGTTCCATTCCTCATGAGGCACACACCTAGCTGGGGGGTTCCATTCCTCATGAGGCACACACCTAGCTGGGGGGTTCCATTCCTCATGAGGCACACACCTAGCTGGGGGGTTCCATTCCTCATGAGGCACACACCTAGCTGGGGGGTTCCATTCCTCATGAGGCACACACCTAGCTGGGGGGTTCCATTCCTCATGAGGCACACACCTAGCTGGGGGGTTCCATTCCTCATGAGGCACACACCTAGCTGGGGGGTTCCATTCCTCATGAGGCACACACCTAGCTGGGGGGTTCCATTCCTCATGAGGCACACACCTAGCTGGGGGGTTCCATTCCTCATGAGGCACACACCTAGCTGGGGGGTTCCATTCCTCATGAGGCACACACCTAGCTGGGGGGTTCCATTCCTCATGAGGCACACACCTAGCTGGGGGGTTCCATTCCTCATGAGGCACACACCTAGCTGGGGGGTTCCATTCCTCATGAGGCACACACCTAGCTGGGGGGTTCCATTCCTCATGAGGCACACACCTAGCTGGGGGGTTCCATTCCTCATGAGGCACACACCTAGCTGGGGGGTTCCATTCCTCATGAGGCACACACCTAGCTGGGGGGTTCCATTCCTCATGAGGCACACACCTAGCTGGGGGGTTCCATTCCTCATGAGGCACACACCTAGCTGGGGGGTTCCATTCCTCATGAGGCACACACCTAGCTGGGGGGTTCCATTCCTCATGAGGCACACACCTAGCTGGGGGGTTCCATTCCTCATGAGGCACACACCTAGCTGGGGGGTTCCATTCCTCATGAGGCACACACCTAGCTGGGGGGTTCCATTCCTCATGAGGCACACACCTAGCTGGGGGGTTCCATTCCTCATGAGGCACACACCTAGCTGGGGGGTTCCATTCCTCATGAGGCACACACCTAGCTGGGGGGTTCCATTCCTCATGAGGCACACACCTAGCTGGGGGGTTCCATTCCTCATGAGGCACACACCTAGCTGGGGGGTTCCATTCCTCATGAGGCACACACCTAGCTGGGGGGTTCCATTCCTCATGAGGCACACACCTAGCTGGGGGGTTCCATTCCTCATGAGGCACACACCTAGCTGGGGGGTTCCATTCCTCATGAGGCACACACCTAGCTGGGGGGTTCCATTCCTCATGAGGCACACACCTAGCTGGGGGGTTCCATTCCTCATGAGGCACACACCTAGCTGGGGGGTTCCATTCCTCATGAGGCACACACCTAGCTGGGGGGTTCCATTCCTCATGAGGCACACACCTAGCTGGGGGGTTCCATTCCTCATGAGGCACACACCTAGCTGGGGGGTTCCATTCCTCATGAGGCACACACCTAGCTGGGGGGTTCCATTCCTCATGAGGCACACACCTAGCTGGGGGGTTCCATTCCTCATGAGGCACACACCTAGCTGGGGGGTTCCATTCCTCATGAGGCACACACCTAGCTGGGGGGTTCCATTCCTCATGAGGCACACACCTAGCTGGGGGGTTCCATTCCTCATGAGGCACACACCTAGCTGGGGGGTTCCATTCCTCATGAGGCACACACCTAGCTGGGGGGTTCCATTCCTCATGAGGCACACACCTAGCTGGGGGGTTCCATTCCTCATGAGGCACACACCTAGCTGGGGGGTTCCATTCCTCATGAGGCACACACCTAGCTGGGGGGTTCCATTCCTCATGAGGCACACACCTAGCTGGGGGGTTCCATTCCTCATGAGGCACACACCTAGCTGGGGGGTTCCATTCCTCATGAGGCACACACCTAGCTGGGGGGTTCCATTCCTCATGAGGCACACACCTAGCTGGGGGGTTCCATTCCTCATGAGGCACACACCTAGCTGGGGGGTTCCATTCCTCATGAGGCACACACCTAGCTGGGGGGTTCCATTCCTCATGAGGCACACACCTAGCTGGGGGGTTCCATTCCTCATGAGGCACACACCTAGCTGGGGGGTTCCATTCCTCATGAGGCACACACCTAGCTGGGGGGTTCCATTCCTCATGAGGCACACACCTAGCTGGGGGGTTCCATTCCTCATGAGGCACACACCTAGCTGGGGGGTTCCATTCCTCATGAGGCACACACCTAGCTGGGGGGTTCCATTCCTCATGAGGCACACACCTAGCTGGGGGGT